CTGGCTCCTGCCCCTCATCGCCAGGGGCGGCTGCGGTGTAGAGCCTCGTTGCCGGGAGGCAGTCGCCATCCCTTCTGTTCGTGGAGAGGCTTGGGCTGCTCAGAGACAAGCTGCGAGCTTAAAAAGAAGCTTTTTAAGGCTAGATTGTGCGTTGGCTGCAAGGATGTGGCATCTCGGGTAAAGAGGAGGGTATCTTTTGCTCTGGCGCTTAGCCGTCCTTCTGCTGCCTGTCTCAAGGTCTATTGTATTTCCTATGTGAACAGGTTTCCATGATCCTGGGGTTGTGCCAGCCAGGTGGTCAACAGCCACTGCTTATAGACTTGGCAACCTCTTCTGCACCCTATTTTCCTCCTACGCACATGGGGAGCGAAGGTATTCTGATCCTGTAGTCCCGGGTGGGATATATGTTCAGCGCAGGTAGAACGAGACTGTTGTGCCTTTTCAGTAATATTTTTTGCAGTTGTTCTTCTGCTGTGTTTGACTCTTATCTGGCTATTTGCTATTTAGGTTAGTACGTTCCTCACTTTTTTGTTATGTTCCACTTTAGGTGTGTTTCTGTAAAAGGAAATTCACAGTTACAGTCAAAGATGAAAAACATCCTAATACTAATAAAGGTTTTGTTCTCTTTAGGTACAAGCAGCTCCCCAGCAAGTGGCTGAAGACAAATTTGTATTTGATTTACCGGACTATGAAAACATCAACCATGTAGTGGTCTTCATGCTGGGAACGATACCATTTCCGGAAGGAATGGGAGGATCTGTCTATTTTTGTTACCCAGACCAGAGTGGGATGGCAGTGTGGCAGCTGCTGGGGTTTGTCACTAATGAGAAGCCAAGTGCCATCTTCAAAATTTCTGGTCTGAAATCTGGTAAGACTGGTAAAATGTAGCAGTCAGTGAAACATGCATGCGTGAAGGGGTAAATGTTTGAAGGTGGTTTTGAACAAAAACCTACTTGAAAAGGCAGACCACCATGTGTTTTCAGGTAGTCCTGAGCAGATGTGGTACTAGAAGCAGTCTGTCAGTTTTATGAAATCTGTCTGTATGTTAATGTTCCTAGTGAAATTTCTCACTCATCTTCTCTTGTATGTGGTGTTGACCTGGAAATTCCTTTGAGCAGGCTTGGCATGTGTTCCAGTGCCTCTGCATCGAGAACCTGAGGAAGAATGATGCTGTAACTTCCATAGCATGGTTTTTAGGCATTTGTCTTGACATGTCGACGACGTTTTCTTTCAGCTTTCACTGTTAAGTGGTTGTATTCTTTGTAGCACAGAGGCAGGTTTTGTAAAGAGTGAAGTCTGACGCAGTGATTTCAGATAGCTGCTTCACATTCAGTTGCGGTTGCACTATATAATTGTCCAGTAGAGGGTGTCGTCATTGGAAAGCAGCTTTCCAAATGTTTTAGCATTTCTGATATAGACCCGAGTTAGAGAAGTCTGACTTGTATGGGAGTCAGAGAATGCTGGCGCTACCTGAAGTAGGTGCGGGCTTGTTTTCCTAAATATATGAGGGTTTTACAATGTGTATTAGAGAAATGATGAAGCGCCCCAGTGGTACACCTTTGTCTTATTAAAGGCCATGGGTATGTCAGTCAAGCAGCTTCAAGTGTTATGGTTATAAAGTAATACACATCTTTTATAGGCTTCAGTGTAGTCTGCAGCCTTAATTGAATCTCTGTTTAGGTAAGCATTGTGGCTGCCATGATGAAATGTATTAATTTATAACATGGCATGTTTTCTTTTGAATCAGTAATGTGACGTGAGATAAGGTGCAGCAAAAATGAATTCTGATTGCATATGTTCCTTCAAAAATTTGGGCTTTCTTCAACAGAGGTAACAGCCACAGGAAGGGTTTTGGGGGCCTGTTTTTGTACATTCCAAAGTTGTGTTGATAGTGAAACAATACAGTATATTGCCAGTTCTTTTGCCAGCTTTTGCAGTATGTTTCTTGTACTTGAAAGACTTACTGTATTATATATGCTTTCAGGCAGCTTCGTAGGACAACACATTTTCAGATGCTTTTTGCATGATTAGCCATAATTTCCAAGTAAGGGCTGCTCTCGGGGAACAGCTCCGTGACATGTTTGAATGCATTTGCAATGCTCTGAGGCAGTGCTGTGCTTGATCTGATCAACAGAGACCTCCGCAGTTCCCATTGTTGTCTACAGCTCCTCTCTGTACACTGTAGAGTCAGTGTAAGCTATACAGCCTTGGTTTCCATGACCATAAACAATTGTATGGTGGAGAAGACTATGAGGCTGTAGAAAGGGGAGACCAGAGAGGTGTTACAGAGAGCTGAAATCATTGAGAGACATTACTGACTGTTGAAATTTGCGTTTTGGATTTGACTACCTCAGTCTAATTTTTTGAACAGGCTGCATGTTTCTGTGAAAGGGACAAGGAGGAGGTGGAGGAAAAATGTCAACAGCACGTCCTTCAACAAATGTTGGGGTGCTCAGATGTCTCCTGATCTAGCGTAGTAGGTAGCAGTGCTGTTCCACAAAGATTGAATACAGAACTTGAACTAGAGTTTTATCTCCTGCTTAAGTATTAGGCAATTATGTTTGTAGCTTGGCTATTAAGGCTTCTGTCATGTATCAGTTTAAAGCTGAGTGGCTCCACTGTCAAGGTGTTTTCAGCCTTGTCACTTTTTCTGGGGATGTTGGGGGTGGCAAGCAAACCTGTAGGTGAGGCTTATGAGAACCAGGGAGGTTGCACAGATATTTCTGACTCGATAAGCACGAGCTAATGTGAGGATGCTGAGGGCTAATATGGAGAATTAATGGCAAGATGAAGTTGACGTGGGCTTTGCAAAACATAGGGTAGTTGCCTTTATGAGCTGGAACAGTGTGGAAAGCTTTTAGAAATGTCTAGATTATGTCTGCTTTTTGTTAGGTTATGTTAGGAATATGTACATTAAAAAGTATGAGAAAACAGGTAAATTTTTGTCACATGGATGCAATGTATTTTGTGACATCAGCTTGCCCACTGGGATTGTTGTATAGTTGTATTAGTAGCTGTGTTGCAGAGTGAAAATATTGTGGAGTGCTGTGTTTGCTTGAACTTAATCCCTTGTTGAGAGGAACAAATCTGTGTCCTTGTTTGTCATCTCCCTGTGAAACAGTGGTTGTAGCTGAGTGTCTCTCTTGCTGTGTGATGAAGAGGGCCAGTGTATTTCTTATGTGGACATGAGTGGCATAGTATTTTATTACACAGACTTTGGGAAAGGTTGAATGTATCATTTGTAACTCTTGTGTTAAGTTTACCTGTAGTGTCTGAAATGCCCTGGAACTGTACAGGTTTTGTGATGTGTATAACTTGCCTGTTGGTCTGTGACACGTGTGACTTGCAGGTGGGGTGTAGAAAAATGCATATATCATACTAATCGTTTAGTCTTGTGTGCTTGACAAGTAGAACATTTGTGTTTAGAAAACGTAGGCCTGTGATAGACTTAGAGGCACCCTGTCGAGATTCCTGCCTTGCTGTTGGAAAGATCAAAGCACAGTGGGAAACGATGCCTGCGTGAATCTCTGATACACAGGCGAGAACAGCAGGCTCGGGAACACTGTCTAGCGAGGACCGAGCTCTGCAGTGCCTGTGTTCCCACTTGTGTGCATCTGTCCAGGTGCTGCTTCAGAGATCCCCTGGTTCACGAGGTATCAAGATTGAATCCACCCTTCTTTGCATTTCATCTTGCCTTTGTTGGCTCACACACATGTTCTCTGTATTTGTAAGGATTGGAATATTAATTGCAAGAGCTCTGGATTGAAAATGTGGAGTGTATTTCAGTTGGTGTAAGGATGGCCGGGGATGCTTTTCTCTCATCCATTTAGGCAGACATCTTTCCAGGAGAGTGGTTCCATGGGCTTGCATACAAAGTGACAGAATGGGTGTATTTTATTATTTAGATAATGAGTGCCTTTCTAATGTAGCGATATATTCTGATGGAGCCTGTTGCTTGAGGATGTTACACTTCTACTGTAAATGTCAGCTTCTCAGGTGAGGATGCTACAAGATGTAAAAACTTCTACCAGCTCTATTGCTATTGGGATTTTTAATGATGAACTTGTGTGATATTTGGTTTCTAATAGCTTTTCTCTTTTCAATACTTTAGTAAACTTTACCTTTATCAAGCAAGCATCTGTCTAAAGGTTGAGATCATACAGCAGTGGCATTTCACAAAAATGCTTCTAAATAGTACTTCAGGAGATGAACCCTCTTCTTGTTGGCCTTGTGCTAAAGTAACACTTCAATAGTGAGGGCTTAACTCTTAAACAGCACTATATTGCAGTTGTAGGATCTGGAGTGAGGAGTGACACTTGGCTTCAGATGAAAAGGGTACTGGGTTTTTGAATGAGCTTCCCATATGGGTTGGACGTTGGCTTCTTTGTGGTAATGCCGTCTGTCTCTGCAGAAGGATGCTCGAGTTTCTGAGATCTTCAGTCTTTGAACCTCAGTTCCACTTGTCAAATGTGTGCTGGTTTTGCTGACTGGGTTTTTGACCATGGAACTAAGTCAGGTGGTGCTTTAGATTTCAGTTAGTCTTTCTTGCAGCTCAAGATAGTGTTGACTGGTCTGTAGGACAGCTCTTGATTAGCTTTACTTTCTCCTGCTAGCAAGAAGCCGGAGTGTGCTACTGAAACATCACGTCTGTGTTAAGAGGGTACTTGTATGTTGTGTTCTCTTAAACTTAGGTTGTGTATTGGTATTTGTTTACTAATAGCATTGTGCTCCCCAGACCTTTTTCCTGTATTTTCCTTTCCAGATGCTGACAAAGAGGAGTGCATGATTTAAGTGGCTCTAGATGCCTGTCATTGTTTGCAGAGACCCTAGCTGAAGCTGGGACTGAAATTACTGGTTAATACTCAGTTGAGAAAGGTCAGAAGCGATGGCAGAGGGCTGGGATGATGCCTGTATGAGTGGTATGCAACTTGGGGATGTTTTTCTGCCTGATTCGTTGTTTCCTCTGTGGCTCTTGCAAAGTCAGAAGCCTTTCTGCTCCCTGGCTGTTTCTTTGACCTTTGCTGCTCTCGCTGGTTTTGAGCAGTTCAGATGAGACCTGGGACTACCCAGCCCACCAAAGGGGATAGCTTTGAGTCAGAGCGATCTTGAAGTAATGTTCTCTGGCTTTCAGTGCACAAACAGGCTCACAAGAACCTGCTTTGAATGAGCGAATCAAATAACTGTGCAGCAGTGCTGCATGTTTCCTGTGTTTCTCTAATTGTTACAGTATGAATTAAAGGCTTGGTCCTATAGGGAAAGGTTCTGCTGTCTTTTAGTCACAGATTGTATTTCCTTTTGAATGTTTACTTCATGGGGATCTTTAAAATTATATTTTTCCCTTTTTTTAGAAATTTCCTTAAGATCTGCTGTGTTTTTTAAATGTACCTATCGCACTGTTTCATTTGTTGTCCTTGTGTGTAGTTGTGTCTGTGTGATTTTTTTTTTTTTTTTTTCCTGTATTTCTGAGATAGGGAGATGTCTCTGGTGGGAGTTGAGGAATACTTTGTACAGAAGAAACACAGCAATTAAAGTAACACAGCCTTTACGTGTGCGCCACGTTTAATGTGTGCTGTTTGATGCTTTCAGGGAAGGGAAGTCAACATCCTTTTGGTGCCATGAACCTCCCTCAAACACCAACAGTGGCCCAGATTGGAATCTCAGTGGAACTGCTGGAGAACCTGGCCCAGCAGACTCCTGTTGCAAGTGCTGCTGTGTCATCAGTAGATTCATTCACAGAGGTAACTTGGACATCCTGTTTTCAGAAATTCTCTGTACTACGAAAATCTTAAGAATTGAGCCTCTGAAGAACTAATTAAAAAAGCTGCTATGGGTAGCTATAGGATTGTAACCAACCTACTCGTTGTCAAATCATTTGACTGGGTGCTTTGATATTTTGAAATGACTTTTCCATATGCTGGAAAACTATCTCTCCTGTAAAGGATTGGATTTTGCATGCTCAGTGGGATCAGGCCGATACTCACTTGTGTCAATGTCAGTCTACTGTAAAAATACTTATGATAATTCCTCATAGGAGCAGCTGTACCTAAATGCATGTAAGAGACAGTGGATCTTTGATGATTTGTAGGTGTTGCAACTCCAGTGCACAGACTTGCAGGGCTGGTCACAAACTACTCAAAAGTCAAGGCAGATGTGGGCATGGATGCAGATAAGATATTCAAGTGTACCACAGACCCTTGAGAAATCCTTCTGATGTAGTTCTGCAGAACTACAGAATTGTGTACACTCCTGCAGAAAGATATTTTTTTTTCCTTTTTTTTTTCTAGTTCTTTCTCTGTGGAGCAGGCCTTGGGCTGCAGCGCTTGCCATTTTCTACCCAGTCTGTCTGTTAGTTTGGACCTCTGGAAATCCTCAGCCAGCACTGGCAGTTAGTTGGCCATCTAACAGCAGCTCAAGGCAAGCTAGATCTGCATTGGCAGATCTTGATTTTTACCCAACACTGGTGGCTGTGGTTTTATCTTTTAACATTTCAGCAGTTGGTGAGACTTTTCTTGAGGCTTTTTTTTTTTCTTGTTCACTTTTCTTATGGGTGGTTGTTAAGGTAGAATGGTAGTTGAACAGTAATCCTGATGATGTATCTGATGTCCTTTAACAGTTTATACATGTAATAATTCTGAATAGGTGATGTCTCTTGGAGAAAGTTATCATGACTACGAGTTGATTGACAGCTCTTTTTCCATAGTACAGTTTAATTGAGCTTTTCTGGAGTAGTTAGGGGCAAATGACATCTGAACAACATTTCTGATTCCACCAATTTTTATAATGGCAGTAGTTAAGTCATGAGATAATAATGACCACTTGGGGTCATTTGCAAGGTGGCTGTTGGACTTTTCTGGCAATAATATTTAAAGAAAAAAAACCCACCTCATAATTGCATAACTTTTTTTACTTATGTTATTTCCAGTCAGGTGGATTTTTCTATTAAAAAAAGAATCACATCTTAACCGAAATTGTGTATTTCTTTCAAGGAAGGCAGTTGAGCCAAAGGTTGAAGTAATAGTTACACCTAAAAAGAAAATGTATAAAGACATAGTTGAAGGAAACCTTTGAAGGAGTGGATAGCTGAGGAAGAGGGTATGACTGGCAGCATGCTTGTGAATGACTAAAGACTTTTATGACTGGCTTCAAACTGGAAGAAGGTAGATTTCGAGTAGATATTAAGAAGAAATTCTTTACTCTGAGGGTGGTGAGGGACTGGCGCAGGTTGCCCAGAGAAGCTGTGGCTGCCCCATCCCTGGAGGTGTTCAAGGCCAGGATGGACGGGGCTTTGAGCAACCTGATCTAGTGGGAGGTGTCCCTGCCCATGGCAGGGGGGTTGGAACTCGATGATCTTCAAGGTCCCTTCCAACCTAAACCATTCTATGATTTAATACTTGACATCAGCTCTTTGGAACGGCTACATTATAGCAATAAAAGTTTTGGGTTTTTTTAAAGGCAAAATCATCTGTTGCTACCCTAAGTTAAGGTCTTGCTCTCCCACTACATTTTTAGTAAGTTTTTTGAAGCTTTATGGTTGGATATATTTTTTAAATAGAGAGAGAGTTATATTATAAAAAAGTTGTATGGAAAAAAAGTGGCGCAAAACCACAGTGTTATGCATGTGAGACACTGAGGGTGAGCTTCTGGCTTCTAGTACATCAGTTCTTGCACTCCTTTTGTCAGCGCAGGTGGAAGGAAGCAGAAGAGTTCATACATTGCCCCAGACTCTGTCTTCCTCCACCATTTCACTGTCTTTGAAAATAGTTTGTTCTCCCACCAAAACAATGCATACTTTTTTTAAAATAAAAAGAATAGGGGAAAGAAGGAGGTACCATAGGCTTGTGTATTTGTAGACTGGCTGGGACTGTCCTACAGCCTCGTCCTCTGCACACAAATGCTTCTTGGCCTCTCTTTCACTCTTTTACTTATTCTTACAGTTTAGGAGTTTCCAGTGCATCTTTTTCATGTTTACCCCAGGAAGATCTTGTGGCAGAGGATGCCAGGATAGCAGCCCTTCGGTGGTGAAACCTAAAGGAAGTTTCCCTGTCACGGGAGCCTGACAAGTTTTAACGAGACAGATTGCAGACTTTTCAGCTGGTGTAACAACTAATGTTTTGCTGTGAGCTGGAATGGCAGCTCTGACCTGGTCTACAGTTCTTCTGATTGTTTAATTTGGAGGAGAGGGACAGCTTTTGACACAAGAGGGACACTTTGTCACAAGAAGACAACGTTCTTCCCAAAGCTGTTTATCCAGTTGAATGAAGTTGGGCAGGGAGAGGGTGAGCGAAGATACTGAAAGTGATTTCTGGATACTGGATGGATCTGAGGGAAAGACTGAGAGTTAGGATGGTTTGATCAATTTAAACCAGACATCCTTGGACCTACTATATCCACTTTCTTTGTGGTTTAGATGCTAATTTTACTTCATATAGGGATTGTGTATCTGCTAAACTTTCCACAAAAATTTGAATTGGAAAAAGAACTTACTTAAAATGTCTCCTTTTTTTTTTTAATTTCAGTTCACTCAGAAGATGTTGGATAACTTCTATAACTTTGCTTCCTCATTTGCTGTTACTCAGGCACAGATGACCCCAAATCCTTCTGAAGCTTTCATTCCTGCAAATGTAGTTCTGAAATGGTAATGGCAATGATCTCTAGTGACGAGTGTTCTTTTTTTCTAGGCATTAAACCAGCTGATTTCTAAGTATTGAACTACTGTCATGCTGTTCAGCGAGATAATGCAAAAATGTTTAAAAGCGTATGGTGGTGTTTATCTCAAGTGTAGAGATGTTTTATCCACTGGTTTTGTGTTTATTTGTCAGCATCTTCATACCAGTTTTTTATTAGGAAAGTGCTAAAAGGCCTATGAATTTTTCGCTTCTAGAAATGTCGCTCTTGACATATGTGGAGTCGCACTATGTTGCGCATCATGCAAATGCTCTGAAGTTACAGGAAGACAGAATACACTGATACTTGCTTATTTTTTTTATGCTTGGCCTGTTCCTAGACATAGTTCCAGCGTAGTTACATTGCTTAAGAATATGGGAGAGGTGGAGAAATCATGGTCCTAGTTGACCTAGTTCCGTCACCAAGATCCTTGAGCACAAATGCAAAAGTCTGAGTTGTTTTCCAGGGGACTGGTTTAAGAAATAGCTGTCGATGGGGATAGCCCATGTAGTCTGGAGATATGTAAGAAATAATTTTTCAGACTTCATAAAGGACTGCCTGCAGTTCACAATTTATCAGTTGAGCCCTCTTTAGCCTCTACAGTGTTAACCTAAACACTTTTTAAAACAGTATTTTGATCTCTCTGAATACAGTTTAATCATACAGGAGAGCTGGGGAAGGACTTTTTACAAGGGCATGTAGTGATAGGATGAGGGGGAATGGCTTCAAACTGGAAGAGGGCAGGTTTAGATTAGAGAACTGGCCTTTCTCCTGTCAATTTGGTGAGGGTGGAAAAATAATGGGGACAACTTTGTCTCGATGTTTCTATTGGAACCGCAAGGGCCATCGATGCATAGCCTTGAGCACAGATTTGTCTGCAGTCCCCTCGTCCTTACCTGTGAGCAGGTGACACGTAGCCTGCCAGCCAGCAATCCCGAACTGGAGGCTGTGGTCTCTGTGGAAGCCTGCCCAAGTCTGTCAAGCTTGCTAGCTCATGTCCGCTGTCCCGTGAACTGAGAAGTGGCTTTGTGCATCCTAGATGGAGCAGCGCTGAAGGGGTGGTGCAGGGACAGCTGAACTGGATTCAGAGGCAGTGGTGTTACCCTGTTTTTCCCAGTATTGCAGCGTGTCCCTAAACGGCATGAGGTTTTCTTGGTTTGGTTTTACTGCGGTTTCTTCTGTGAGATACCTGGCCTGATTACTCGGATGACGGACAGCCTCAGACTTGCCCTCCTGCCTGCCTGAACTTTGATTTCCTAACCCAAAAAATGTTATGCACAAAATAGCCACTGTTAATTCACTTAAAATTTTTCTAAGCTTGAATGAGCATCCTCTGGGATACCACTTCAATGAAATCCATACTGTTGTCAAAATACACAAGTCTCACTGAATATTCTTGATGCGGAAGCAGAAAGGAGGGGTTTGGATTTACTCACTTTCTGGTGTGGCGTAGATGTAACTTAATGTGTTCTCTGCATAGACTAAAGCCATTTTATTTGCAGTAGCTGTTGTTTATTTTTTGGTTTGTTTTTTTTTTCCTAGGTATGAGAACTTCCAGAGACGCCTGACACAGAACCCTCTCTTCTGGAAAACATAAGCTTAAATTGTGTCATCTGTGTTACCTGAAAGATGCCACAAGTGATTCCACTGAAGAATTTTGGAGGGGAAAAAAAAAACCCCAAACGATTAGTCTGAATAGACAAACTTGTAACTTTTGTATTACTCTTGAAAATTATTTAAAATTAAAATCCACGAAAACTACTTGCCTATGCGTTTTTTTAAATGGAGAACTTGGCTGCAATAAGAAATCAGTGTTGCATATGCATGCGTAGAAATCCTTTTTTGAAACTGCACTTAAAGTGGAAGAAATTACAAGATGAAAAATGGCAGCACTGTTTCACACTTGTCTGATGTTTTGGGGTGTTTAACTGTAAACAAAATAAATGTAGTTTTTTTCCTTCTTTACCTCATTTTGAAGGATGATCCGGCAACTGAGAATATGCTGATGGTTTCCTGCCACTACTTACGCTGTCAGTTCTTTCACTTTGTGGACAACCAGTATTCCTGTCCCCAGCTCATATAAATGCTACAACAGTATTTCCCTCTCTTTGGCATGAAAACACTAGTGAGTGTGATCTCAGGGTACCTGTATTTAACTTTTCCTGGGTGAAAG